GACAAATACCTATCAGCTCTTGTTGAAGGATAAGAGCCTCAGCCTGGTCATTTGCGCTATTGACAATATCATCGACAAAGACATGGTCTCGAAGTACCCGAAAAGCTCGAGGAAATTGTTCAACCTCATCAAGAGCGAGCTGTTTTATAACCCGAAGAGCAAGGTAGCAAGCAAGCAAGCAAGACGATATTCACGTAATAAATTATGTGGTGAAGTACGCCACATAATTCGCTGGTAGTCCCTATCAGGCTCTTGAACCAAGATGTTTCGATACATTTGTTTTATATCGGCTGTAAGCGCGATACAATGTATACGAAATTTTAAAACAACGTCAATAATATCCTTATGCATCTTAGGACCCGTTAAAATAATATCGTTGAGGGAAATGCCGGTTGAACTTTTACACCCAGCATCAAAGACTACGCGAGTCTTGGTCGTCTCACTAGCCTCTTTAACCACGCAGTGGTGGGAAGTGTAATAGGTCGTCCCATCATTGGGAGGACTATCAAGCAGCTCCATGTGGTTGAGATCCATATACTCTTGAAGGCACGAGTGATGTGATACTCGCCCTTAAGGGACGGGTTTCGCTCTAATCGAGCTTCAAGTTTTAAAAGTCGAGAACGCGCAATATCCCGCGACTCACCAAGAGGTGGTGCATCGGGTTTAAACGGCAGAGCAAGCACGTAGCGACCTGTTTCGTCACGAGTATGTGTATGTGTAAATATAAACTCACATAAACTTTCCTCAGGAGTGAAGATTTTCTCTTCCTTCTGTAAAGATTCTAACTCCCAGAACCTACGGAGTTCAATGTCATCGGAGAATGAGCTAAGACACACCTGGATGGGGGGCAAGGTATTCGATTCGAATTCGAGTTTGCCCAACAATAAATAGCCAAAGATACTATTTACAGCTATCGGTGAACCGGGCTCCCCCTTAATTACGTTACTTAATAATACATGGGATAGTATATCCGCTCCTAGCAGCATTTCAACGGGCTGCGGTAAATGAAAATTAGGAACAGCTAGTTTTAAATATTTTATAATATGTAACCATCCTGTATGTGATAAGGGCACGCTAGGCGTTCGTGAAATAAGTTTCGGCAAAATTAATGCTTCAACCAAAATCGAAGGTTGATCCATTCCGGTGGGACTCATGCATACTGTAACTACAACCCTAGGGTATACTGGCTTATTTTCTCCAATACCTAATACAGGTATACTGGCACGTCGCTGTTTTAAACCTAACTGATTTGTACACGATTCCGTTATAAATGAAGCCAGGCTATCCGTGTTGATTATACTTTGGATCGTAGACCGCTATTGTTTGCTTATGTATACATCGACGAGCGCCGTAGATAAGAGTACTGTTTTCGTACACATCGAGTACGCATTGGACAGCGCGTGCGCATTAGAATCAGGCGTAGAATTCATCGATGTCGTCATTGCTACCCGACTAAGTGATCCGCGGGAGTGATTGAAATAGAACTACTATCCTCTACGATTACCATTGCTTGCGCTTGAGATTCAAAATGTATCAAACTATGATGACGCCTATGACCCGCACAACAAACATAAATGGACTTGCAATTTTTAACATCGTGCCCCAAATTTAGGCAATTAAAACAAACATTTTTACCCTTAAGAAAGGTGTACCTATCCCTAGGAGATAAGTTTAAAAATTCGGACATTTAGTCAACGAATGTTGAGCTTCACATTTCACGCAATGCTTAACCTTATCTCTTGTTCGCACGTGCGAGAATCATTTGAACAGTTCATCGAAGTCAACTTGGTCGCGAGTACCTGACGCGCCGTGCTGTTGCCGATGTCGACGCGCAGTCTCGTAGTGTTCGATGATGCATAAGTTTTTTTAAACTGTTAAAATTCGGAAAACTCACAAGCTGAAACTTCCCGCTCAATGAATTTTATAAGACCGTCTATTTGTGGAATATCTAATGGCTTACTTAAAGATAATTCAAAACTTTTTACGAATGCTAATTGGTATTTTACGTAATAAAATACTGAACAATAAAAAATTCCATTCCACTATAGGAAAACCCATAGCTTCTAATGCCTTTATATTTTCTTGGTAGATATTTAAAAGATTACGTAACGAAATAATCGATTTTTCAGAACAACATTCAATATCCAAAATACGATCAATGTGCTTAGATGCGATTGAACGCTTATTGTCATAACGTGTGATTAAAGTGATCCATGCCATTTGATAATTATCGTCGGAAACAGGAATCGACTTAATTAGATTGTATGGTTCATTTTTCAGGGTCAACAATAAGTACCTAAATTTCTCTGCATTCGTGTAAGCGTCATTGTTGTGTACCAAAGCACTGAATAAATCGAAATACGATCGCCAATCGGTTGAATCGCCGAAAAATGACGGTAATGGCAAAGTGGGTAACTTGTTAAGCGTACAAATTTGAAGTTGATGAAATTCTCTAATAGTACTATTATAAAACATGCGACTTGCACGCCTATTCTCCTCCTTCAAACCTTTTATCTTGTTTACATGGAAAACAATTGCATAGTAATAGTCATTAAATTGTTTACGAATGGCCAACTATTCCTCATTGTCAAAGTTCTTTTGTTTCAAATAACATTTTTATAATTTTGGTTGAAGTTTACTAAATTTACGTTGTTGGGAAACTATATCTTTTGAACGCGCAAGAAATTCATCTCTGTTAGAATCTACAATTTCTAAAGTATGCTTTACTTCTTCTAAAACGATATCGCGTTCGAAAATTACGTGAGAATGCAACGATGATTCCGCCATGTTGTATTGTAAAATACAACATGGCGGACACAATATATGGTAACGAAATGAAATATGAAACTTATGTAAGTGGGTAAAGGGTAATAAAATAAACGGCATTTCTAATGTGACAACTGAGGATAATATCGCTAGTGAATGCGATACCAATTCAGAGACAGAAATCATGAGCCCATCGCAGGAATTTCTCGTAACAGTAAAAAATAAAGCAAAACTGAGCTTGGAAAAACAAGCTGAAAAAATTAAAGCCACTTCAACTGATAAATATCCATATGTGGAAATTAGCCAAAATGTAAGACTGAAAGTATCTGAATTTGACAAAGTTAAGAGTGAACCAAAAGTATTATTGCAGTGGTGGTATATATTAGGGAGAACTATGTTTACTAACTGGGTGCCAAAAATGGAGTTCTGAACCAGCTTTACACAAAAAATCAATTTACCTCATGCTCAAAACACTTCATCAAGATAGAACAAGTTGTTAAGGATAAAGAAGTGAGTCTTCGAGAAGTTGTCGGAAAATTGTCTTTGACCTCCGGTCAAGGATTCAGAAAATGCAATTGCCTAAAAAAATGCTAGACGAAGAAGTGCACTTGCAAGTCATTAGGATAACTTTGTTGACTTACTGATTTGTACTTTTAACTGATGACAATCAATATCTAATAGCAAATGCAGGTGCGTTGCGAGACTTATAAAAAGAGTAGGTTTTTTTTAAATTTGCTATAATTTATAAAAAAAAATCACTTTCATTTACTTTACTGTTCAAAAATAATTTCGAAAATGTTCTAATCGTGTAATTATATGGTTATTTTACTATTAAAAAAGATAATTATTAATATCAAATGATATGAAAACTTAATGAATAATAAAGCTTATCCAACGTGTTGTGCTTATGCAAGTAGTTCGTAAGAAGAAGAAAAAATATTTATGTTTTTATTTTATACTTTCAAAATCACCATAAAAATGTTTTAAAATTATCTAGGTATTCAATGTTTAATAAATACTTCCTACTTATATTAATATATTGTTTTATTTCCAAAACCAACACTTACTGATATTCATTGGTTAAACCTAGGATGAACCAAATTCTAACGGCAAAAGCCCAAAAAATTGTCGCATTTTATATCAATTCTTACATTTAACAGCTCATTTTGGTAAATCCTAGGACTTAAAAGTAAAACCTAAGATACACCGGGATTTTACAGTAACATTTATATGTTATATACACAGTTGAATATTGGGATATCTTTCACGATATAATCTGCTTGCAGCGTTTACGTTCCATCTGCACTCTCCATAAATTAAGTGCATATACTCTAACGCTGTATGGGGTGGGAGTGGCATGGTAAAAAATTCAAACAATCTAGTACACAAAAACACTAAATTACAATGCAGATTGATGCCAGAGCAGTTCAGTTTTTAAATCACTTGATAATGGTGACCAATCGCCACTCTCTTTGCTCTAAATTCTTAATAGCGTCACTAACTGTTCCACTCTTGCTTACCAATTGTGTAACTATCTATTTCACTCGCACTTCAAAAATTTATTGACGAATCTTGTGTATCTGAATCTGTAACACAATACCTGGTTTTGGTGCACAAAATAACGTTTTCAAAGATAATAATTAATAATTGCGTTTGGTTCTTGTTCAGAAAAAATATAAATATATTTTGTGCTTAGTATCACTAGAGTTATACCATTTTAGAATATCGCTTAGTTGTGCTAACATTTACAATAACTTGCCATAGTAGTGTTGATAAATGTTTTATACCGTGACGAGTCGAAGTTGATTAAAAGATAAATTTTCTAAAATTACAAGACAAAAATAAACATAAGTTTATTTTTTCTATAATCTGCAGATATTTTGTTTTATTTCGAACTGGCATGCGCACCAATGCTACTTAGGTTGCTAATACAAAAAAAAAAAACAGTGACATTGCAAATTTGTAGTCATACTACCTAAAAATATTATATAGCGTGTCAAATTTTATAATAAAATGTCCAATAAGAAATCTCTTAAAAACTTTAAAAAACGAAAGAAAAAATCTTACGAAATTACACAGAAATATACATTTTACAGCTAAGAAAAGAAATGATAAAATAAAAAGACTAAAAAATGAAACCGCGATAGCGTCGCTCAATTTGGAAAATGTTATCAGTTAATTGCAAACAAAATGTTCATATTCTCACTTTAAAAATATTTTTTAAGAAAACTTACCCCATCAACACGTAAGCGAATATCCTTTCCCGCAGCTGTCAGTAGAGCCCGGAGAATACTGGTGGCAGTACCAGTCTGCCTACTGGCCACCAAATGAACAGCTGTCTGTTGACGACTCTGGATAAAGAATTATAAAATATGATTTTACTTTAGCAAGCTTCATTTTTTATTATTGATTTATCTAGTTGAAATAAATAAACCGACTTGCTTTAAGAAATAAAATTTAAAAAAATCAGCCAAGTGCGAGTCGGACTCGCGCATGAAGGATTCCGTACCATCGTATAAGATTTAATACTATGTGGGTAGAAAAAAAACGTTTTGATAGGGAGATAAAACATTTGGAGGATGAGATGGACAGTAGCGTTTTTCAGATAACAACGAAATAAATCTAAAAACTTTGGTTGACAACCCGCTTACCATGCGTGGTAACTATGGCGAATATCCTCCCTACGATGCAATCTTTGTGACCTGTGTTCAACAATGAGATTTGATGGGCTGTACTTGTAATTGCCCCCAAATTCAAAAAAGGGACTTTTAGGATAGGGTGACAAACGAGCACACAGTCCACTTGATGGTAAGTGGATGCTGTGGCCCATAGACATCTACATACACCTCTGAGGACTAAGATGGAATGCCTCTTTTCCATTAAAAAGGGTCTCCGATTCTCTACACTCACCATACGAAACACAGCAGTGTTAAGCTGCTATTTTACGCTGGTATTCTGTGAGTGCGTGTTCCTTCCCCGGTTGAGCCGACCCATTCGTGCTACAACTATACTACTAATATAGCTCTCATATAGCTCTGCCACGTAAAGACAAACAGCTAATTTTCAACCGGAGGACTAGATAAACGGCTCACAGTCAGTTTTAAATTAAATCTAGGCGGCAAGACATTTGAAGAAAAGATTTTATGAGAATTAATTGCTGTCACGCTATGCCTGATCGACCCAGCTGGACAACTGATAGGCTTAACTGTAGCTGGAACTGATTGTACCTATGAAAAATTTATGGAACACCACATTGTGTTCCTGCTCCATCCTCCAAAACTGGACATTTTATATATATTTTTATAAGAAGAACATAAGAAGGATTGTGGCTGTCTGTATCTTGTTCCTTTACATTTTACGTTCGTTGAATTCTTTTTGCAGTGTGTCTAGGCGATACTACAGTGGTCTACGGTAACTGGGATATTTTATTCATTTAAGGAGGTATCCAGTTTTTAAAATAGTTTATAGAAAACACAAAAAGAGACATGGCAGTGGTTGTAGAATAGAATAGAAGAGAATAATTTCTATTCAGTATAGATTACATGTAATTTTTATTGAAAGTGATTTTTTACTTTACCACTGGTTCGGAAAAAAACTCTGTTCTGGGAAAAAACCAGCAAGAATTTCGGGACTTTTTAAGTAAATTTTACAATATGAAATTTTGTACATACTATTAAAAAAATTATTTTGCCTAACTTGGAAGCGACCACCTCATTCCCAGGGGTTATTATCAACCATGTATTCATTTATATTATAATAACCCTTTTTATACAGTTTTTGTTTATTAAAATATTTAAACTTGGTAATAGAAAGACATTGTATATTTTCTGCAACTTTGTTGTAATAGCGTATACATTGACCCAAGAATGAATTACAGACTCTGTGGAATCGAGAAACTGGCTATTTTATAGATTGTATCATTACACATTATCCAGGGAGAAAACATAGGAATATGTTTCCATAACTAAACGCCTCCCGGATATCCTCCTATTTATAATTATACTGGCTCTCTTCAAACCGAAACAGTAGATGCATTCTTTGGTGTCAGAAAAATGTAAGAGGTTGGTGGTATCGAGACGAACTCCTAGAAACAATCGTTTATTTTCAGTTTTAAAGAACATAATTTTAAAATATTTCGTTCAGTATACGAAAACAAAATCTATGTTATTTTTGCTATCGTTTAATAATTTATGACTTACCCCTCCCGTTGCAAAAGGATCGACTCCCCGTTTTGATAACAGCAGCTTGACAACATCCTCCCGCGAATACATCGCGGAGATGTGGAGCACATTGTAGTTGTCCTGCAACAATTTTGTTAATAAATGAAGGATCTGATGATGTTGAAATAACTTCTGGGATCGTGAAATCGTCGAACCAAACATAAATAAAAAAGAAATAATAAGTACGAGTATGTAATAATCTTTATTAAAAATAAAATTATATTATTTTTAGTAAGTTTAAAAATAAATTGTGTTGAATTATGAAGAAGTATTTGGATTTACATAAGAAAACGTAAGTTTTTTTTTTATATTGACGTCTTTTGTATTGGTTTCTAACCAGGCATCAGTTTTAAGATGCTGTTCTATCAAATCGGAGGTAGGTCAGAAAGATCAGTAAGGGTATTTAGCGTAAAGAGCAGTAGTCGCTTTTTGTAAGTCCGAAATGACCTAGAAGAAGGCTGTTGAGCGATGTCGGGAGAGTCCAAGGGGGGTCCATAGGAAGGGGTTTGGACATAGCAAAGGCCTTCGATCGGGTTTGGCACAAAGCGCTTCTTTCGAAGCTCCCTTCCTATGGACTTCCCGAGAAATTATGCAATTGGATCACCAGCTTTCTTGCAGATCGGAGCATCAAGGTCGTTGTAGACGGTGCATGCTCCGACTACAAGCCTATTAACGCTGGTGTTCCACAAGGCTGCGTGCTATCACCAACGCTGTTTCTTCTGCATATCAATGATATGTTGCAAGCCGGTAGCATTCATTGCTATGCGGATGACAGCACTGGTGATGCTCTATACACCGGCCGTGCCAATATTTCTCAGGAAAACGTCACCGAGTACCGGAACAAACTTGTGTCTGAAGTCAAGTCTTTGCTGGACAAAGTCTCGGATTGGGGGCGACTAAATCTAGTCCAGTTTAATCCTCAGAAGACACAAGTTTGCGCGTTTACCGCTAAAAAGAACCCCTTTGTCGTATCTCCTCAGTATCAAGGTTGCCTCAGCCAGTATCGGAATTCTCGACGTCGACATATCGAGTTACCTGCAGTTTCGTGGTCACTTCGAAGAGAAAGCCAAATTGGCCTCTAAAAAGCTTGGCGTGCTCAGCAGAGCGGGACAGTATTTCATGCCGGCTCAACGCCTGCAAACTTACAAGGCGCAGGTTCGGCCTCACATGGAATACTGTTCCCATCTCTGGGCTGGGGCTCCCCAGTGCTTGCTCCTTCCACTTGACCGCATCCAGCGCAGAGCGGCTCGAATCGTCGACGACCGAGTCCTTTCCGATCGGCTCGACTCATTGGCACTGCGAAGAGATGTTGCATCTCTTTGCATTTTCTTTCGCATTTACTATGGGGGCACTCCCCAAAGTCGTATCGGTAAGGAAAAATCGCTGGTGGTAATCGATTCCACAAGGAAGTTGAGCGAGGAAGAAAACATCTTCTAAATCGCACAGCGGTGGACCGCCAATCATCCCGATGGTATGAATGATATCGCGAGTTTTGTGGCGATGTGCGATGGTGGAATTGAGCGGTTGGAATTAGTCCGAACAATTCCTCAGAGCACTCCCCGTGGTAGATGCGATAAAATACGCAAAGAGATGCAACATCTCTTCGCAGCACTGGTGAACCGAGCCGATCGGAAAGGACTCGCTCGTCGACGATTCGAGCCGCTCTGCGTCTTGAAACTGGGTTCTTTTTAGCGGTAAACGCTCAAACTTGTGTCTTCTGAGGATTAAACTGGACTAGATTTAGTCGACCCCAATCCGAGACTTTGTTTAGCAAAGACTTGACTTCAGACACAAGTTTGTGTTTTGTTTGTTTGTTGTTTGTGTTTGTGTGGCACGGCCGGTGTATAAAGCATTACCAGTGCTTTGCAACATTTCATTGAAATGCAGAAAAAACAGCGTTGGTGATAGTACACAGCCTTGTGGAACACCAGCGTTAATAGGCTTGTATTCGGAGCATGCACCGTCTACTATGACCTTGATGTTCCGATCAGCCAGAAATCTGGTGACCCAACCGCGCAATTTCTCAGGAAGCCTCGAAAAAAACGCTTTGTGCCAGACCCGATCGAAGGCCTTCGCTATGTCCAAACTAACGGCCAATTTCTCAAGAAGATCACCAGCAGAGCGACCCCGACGGAAACCGTATTGGCGGTCACTAATCAGCTGGTGCTCCCGCATGAGCTGGCAGTTAATAATGGATTCCATTATTTTCGAGAACAAGGAGGTGATGGCGATAGACCTGCAGTTGGACAATTACCTTTTTTAGGGATCGGATGCACGAAAGCGGTCTTCCATGAATTTGGGAAAATACCTAGGGAGTAGGAGTACCGGAAAAGACGCGTTAGAACCGGTGCCAACTCTGGAGCGCACGTCCTCAGCACAATTGGCGGGATTCCGTCAGCCCACTTGACTTGTGTATATCCAGGGAGAGGAGTGCTTTGCGTAGGTACTGAGCATTGTGTAAATCGCACATCAGGCATAGAGCACTCACACTGAGGGATGGGTAGCGGTGTGTTCCCCCCGTAATCGAGAGTCGAGTTAGACACAAAAAAGGAGTCTAAAAGGTCGGTTTTCTCTTTTGTGGTGTGGTGCAGAGATGGCAGTGAGGGGAGCGTGAGTGGCATCACACTCCGGATTAGACAACGGTACGAAGGCATCGACGGAAAGTTGATATCCGTACGGATGAGAGGTCACCAGAAGGTCCAACAGGGAAGACGTATGATCCTCCACATCTGGAATCCGCGTGGGCGAAGTAACCAGTTGTGTGAGACCATATGGTCTCACACAACTAGTCTTAGCATATGCTAAGACAAAGTCATAAACAGGTCTCCACGCATGATCGGTTAAACGTGAACTGAGTCATTCGGCGAGGTGGGCGTTAAAATCGCCAAGAGTCACGATCTCTACGTATGGGATCTGTTGTAGCAAGAAATCTGTAGCCATTTGGACGTGGTCGATGAGTCGGTCTGTATATTTATGGTATACAGGCACCCGTAGACGCAGGGTTGGTCGTGGCTGCCTACGCGCAGCCAAAGGATGGACAAGTTCGTACCTTCAAGACCGCCGAGGTTTTGAGAACAGATATTCTCTCTGACGTATACGCAAAATCCAGCCCGGGCCACAAAGAAGTGTTCTAATTTGTACACCGGGTACGACAGGTACGAAGTATCAGCCGGAGAGGACACCTGCGGTTTTTTTAAATGCTAGTAATGCTATTAAACATTACATATACTAATATTCCCTTTAACCACTTCTGGTAAGCTTAAAATGCTTGTGTTAGAAGTGGTCCACGACAATAGTCGAACGGCGGATTCGAACCCACGACCTTTCGAGTTTGCCCTGCCAGTAGGCTACTGACGCTTTAAACGCTTCGTTTAGGTCAAAAAGAGCAAGGCCGGCTTCGCCGTCTCTAGATGGTCGTGGATGGCGTTAAGGTTCGAGTCAAGTCCCTTGACGTTGCAAGTCCACGGATAGCGTGGCACTAGTCTAGTTTAGACTAGTCTTTTCTTTCTCTATTAACCAAGCGAAACCCAGAAGCAAAGCTTATACTTTATGTTGGTATTCTGTTAGGTGGTGGTACTGCCCAGTTTCGATTCAGGCCATCCATGCTACAGCAGCAGGCACAGCGTGGCTCTACCACTGTTAAAGCCTATGTTCAACAGTTGACTTTTAGAAGGCTGTAACGGTATGTACACTTTCAGAAGAGATGTAGATGCGTGATTAGTATTAGTGATGATATTACATACAGTGTAAATCATCCCCGCAGCCCCCGCCGCTGCTTCGGCCCCACTTATGTCGCTAGACATCCCCCACCGTCCAAGCCAGCTTCCCGATTTTTATCCTTGCTAAAAAGCAGGTTCCGCCCCCTGTCTTCTTAAGAGACAAGGCTAGCTTCAGACGTCTCTCCAAGATCTGTTATGATGCAGGCATAAAATATGATCAGGCCGCCAACATGGGTGAAGCCATCAAAATAGTTCCTCAGTTGGTTGACGACTTTCGCCGCCTTACAAGACTATTTACTTCCGAACGTGTGTCCTACCATACGTACGCTCTTCCGGAAGAGCGTAAAGTCAGGGCCATGATCCGCGGCGTCCCCTTCGAACTCGCCAATGAGGACATCCTTGAGGACCTTAAGTCCCAAGGATTCCCCGTTGAGGCCGTGCACAAAATGCACAGCAACAAAGACAAACGATTCCCGCTTGCCCTTGTAATTCTCACAAACGTCCCGGAGGCAAAGTGTGCGGCCTGTCGTGACTGAGGGTTGAGCCCCCACACAGGCGCGGTTTCCTGGCGCAGTGCCACTGCTGCCAGCTTTATGGTCATGTGGCGGCCAACTGCTCCGCCCCACCCATGTGCGTTAAATGCCTAAATCCGCATCACTCGAAAGAGTGTCTTCGGCCACAAAACGCTGAATTTCCACCCGCGTGTGTCCTATGCCAGCAGTCTGGCCACCCTGCAAATTACAGAGGCTCCTCATCCTCGTCCCAGTAGGCAAGCTCCACCGCCGATCAATGACAGATCATTCCCGGCCCTCTACCCTAGAATGCCCCGTCCGGGCCTTTCTCAGCCCCTTCAGGGCCCTTCACGGCCCTCTCAGGGTCTCTCAAGGCCCCCTCATCGCTGTCTTAGCACGCAAACTGCGCGCTGCTCGGTTCCCTCAGGACCGTCTCCTCGCTCTTGCAGAGCATCACAATCTTTTGTGATCATTGTAACTTGAATTTATTTGATTTAAGTTAAATTAAATTAAATAAATTAAAGTTGCAATTTATAATGGCAGAGCACTCTGCTCTCCCAAAATCTCACGGTCGTATCAAACCTAAGGGTTTATCGCTCGTATCTTTTAACATTCTCGGTTTGCGAAATTACCTCCCAGAGCTTAAGCTCTTTCTTCGAGATGGCGAAGCCGATTTCCTCCTCCTCCAGGAAACTTATCTCAAAACTAAGGACATTAAAGGTCTATCCATTCAAAAGTTTTCTCTTCTTCGTAATGACCCGACCGCCAAGACGGCGGTACGGCCATTTATTACAAGAAGGCACTTCATTGCTCTCACATTTCTACTCCGCAGCTTACCAACATGGAAGCC